AATATCAAATGCCAACAAAATGCTGCTATAATTCATTAATCTTTTCATTATTAAGTATCAATGAGTTCTGATTAATCTGCATATCAATCCTACTGAAGATCTTCACCAACTTTATTTTGCAAACTTTTTGCACTTTTTGCATTTGAATTAGTGCGAACTAATTCAAATTTGTTTGATTCGCAATTCATCAAACTTTATGTACGCTTCAATAATACTTCGATGGCTGTAATGATATTCGGACATGACACATATTGGACAATTATTCATTCCGGACTTACTTCTTCTCTTCTTATGCTTTAATAAACTTTTTCTCACTATATTATTTAATTTTTATTTCATATTCTCAACAAATTTTTATTTTTCTTCCCTTTCACTTCTTCTCTGTCATATTTTTTTGTTCATATTGCTTTACTACTAATCAATCCTTTTGAGTTTTTAGGACCAAATGTTTCATTTGCCATAAAATTTGAAAATCGAAATAAAAATTCAGAAACTGTAAATTAAGACTTTTGTTAAAAAGACTACTTGATAATATAGACAACATGTTTATATAATTAAATTTGTTTGTTACTTGTCAGTAATCAGACGAATTGCTTCAACTTTAACTACATATACTAAAATATCATCAATAACTAGTCAAAAAATCCTTTTATAATTTTATCTTTTAGCTTAAAATTACGCATTGCTCTAAAAAGAGAAAAATGTATTTCGCATTAAATATCACAGAATTATGAGAAATATTTCACTGCATCTTCCGAACGGTGACTACAAATGCGAAATAATTAAGTAATAAAATGTCTCAAATTCAAAAAGAAATTTAATAGTTATATTCAAATATTCTGATTTCTTATTAATTACTTCTCTTTCGTTTTTCCCTTCTCTTCCTTCTTTTGTCGACAAATCATATCGGTAGAAAGAATAATTGGGGATACCATGATTTTGTTAAAGTAGCACAAAATGACAAATATACTTCTATTTCCTTTAACAGCTGTGCCACGATTTTATTTTTCATATTTCCATTTTATGGCTCTTACTTAAAGGATTAAATGAATTTGAAAGTTTGTATTAATGCAACTAATTAAATTACATCACAGCATCATTTGCTTCCTAAATCGGCAACATTGTCAAATCAATAGATAATGGGAATGTGTCAGGGAAATATGAATTATCAGCGGAATGCGATAATGATGTTAAGTAATTGAAACTTATTTAAGTATTCTAGTTTAATTTCTTTTCTTGATTAACGTTAATGTTTTAGTAAAAAAAGATGATACATTTGAAATGGTTCGAATATTATAAATATCAATTACCAGTTTACCGATATATATTTAACAGAAAGAAAATATATGACCCAGAATATTCTATCTTTAAGAATTGTACCGTAGGTTGGTATTACATAATGTCGTAACTGTTGTAAATTACTAAATAATTTTAAAAAATGTAGCTATTTTCAGTTTCCTTTAATTCTGAAATCGACATCTTTGTAAAATAAAATGATTTATGCAAAAACGTTCTTTGCTTGAATAATTTATCGAGCGCGTATCACTTTTATAATAAAATTGTAAGATTGCTTTAAGTTGATAAAAACGGGGATGTGACAAATAGTTATCAGTAAATTCAAATGTTATTCTATAATTATCTAGCTGATGTTATTTATTATTTCTAGTATTTTTAATCAGTTTTAAAATTTTATTACAAAATCGACGCTGACGTGTGTCATGCTAATTTAATATGCATTAATTAGTACTATAAATAGTGCTTTGTAAAACTTCCAAGCAAGTTGAATAGCTGATGTAGAATAATTTACTGTTAATGAAAACAAAGTATTTCTCCAGAGCAACATTATTTCTGTCGAGTCATTTAGCATCATTTATTTACTGCTGATATCATTTCCTAAAAAGAAAAATTTATAATTAATGTTGTAATCTGATTCAGATTTAATTGATTTGATAAAGTAATAAATGAGTGAGTGAATGGTTATGAAAATGAATATATGAGGAATATTTAAAAAATGTTCAAGTATAATTTTGCAATTAAAATGAATGCGACATGATTTTGTAGACATTAATGAAGATATGAACGTGTCACGTAATTGTATAACATTTTGTTGTTTTTGTTTTTTTTTCAAATTTTAATAAAATTTAAACTAAATTCATTTTTAGGATAATTTGAAATAAATTATTCTAATGAAGTGAACAATGGCCTAATAAATGGATTCAATAAATCATTCAATTTGCACTAACATAACCATAAATGATGGTTACTGTTACGGTTTGCCAGTGTGTGGATATTGTTATGATTTTAATATAACGCTTGAACCAAGCAATAATTATGAATTCTATAATATGGTGTGGTTTAATAACAAATCCATAATTGATAATTGATACAAATGTTAATCAGTTACAACCAAAATGATTACACGAACGAAAAGCTGATAATTTCGATCTATGGCTAATATTAAAAGATAAATTAATTACAATGAATTAATGTACTTAGATCAATCGACTATGTTTAAATTAGAGTAAACAAATGAGTTTTGATAGTTGCAATTGTCATAATTACGAAGTGCAAACTGACAACAACTTAAAGACAAAAGGATTCATTAATAATTCCATATATTTGAGTGAATGGTTTATTTATAATTATCGATAAATTACTTTTTACCCTTAATTTGATATCAATTTATATTTTTTTCTTATTATAATTCCCAAGAAAGAATTCTAACGATGAAAATATGCGATCATGCGTGATTGTATGATTAAACATACGTGTAAGAAAATTCCGTAAGCAGTTGTATAATATTTTGAAATTTTCACTTTAATTTAGCTGAAAATCATTTCATTTCTTTTTTAATATCACTCTTCAGATGGTTATCAGAATATTCCTGCCGGTAATTGGATTGTTTGGTTTATGCGGGAATGGAATTTCCGCTTTTATTTATAGTCGCAAATCCATGCGCAGGTTCATTTTATTTTTCAAAAAATAAAAATTTATTTAAAATTTGTTAGAATTATTGCAAATGATAAAATTTACTAAAGTAAAACTTGAAGTAGCAAAAACTTTGAAGTATAAAAATTGAAATTTCAGCAAACATAATGAGTAACTTAGAAAAAGAAGAAAGCAAATTTTGATTTTTATTCATTTACTTTACTGATTTTAATCATTTTAACTTTTCAATTCGATTAACTTGCAGTTCAATGAACGTTTATTTATGTGCTTTAGCGATATCCGATATAATTATCATATTAACCGCATTTTTTCTATTTTTCATCGAGAATTTACGCTATAAATCATTGTTATTATCAGAAATTTTTGCATTACTTACACCAGTAGCATTCCCGGTTGGTCTTACTGCCCAATCTTTATCAGTATTTTTGACCGTCACATCAGCTGTTGATTGCTTTTTATTGATTTATTCGAACCCTAATTGCAAGCGGCGATTTTGTAGTACATCAACTGCCATTAAGGTTAGTATTGATTGGTAGTTATCAATGAAGTAAGTTTAACATGATTTGTGATAGAGCAAATAATATAATAAAGTAAAATCTTATACTTTCTCTAAAACTTCTTTTTTTCGCAGCATTTCAAGAATTTATTTTTTTCCGTCTTTAATCTAATTGATAATTGATAAATACTATTAAAAGTTAGGAAATGAAATTAAAAATATTAAGAAAATTTTTTTAGATAGTTGGAATGATTTCGATGTTAGCAATGCTTTACAACAGTCCACATATGTTTGAAATAGATGTTATAACTTGTTGGAATATTGTTTACGCCGAGAAAAGCATCGATGTATGTCCAACTGATCTTCGACAAAGTCAGGTATTTATGTCTTTTTCTCTTTTTCTGAATAACTCCGGTTGATGGAATTAATTTCAATTTAATTGATGCACATTTATTTTAATAACAAAACATATTGAATTTGAATAAATTGAACAGTAGGCAAAAAAATAAAATTGCAGTTGTATTTAACAGTATATTATGCTTGGATGTATACGGTAGTGATGGCTGTTGGCCCGGTTTTGATACTTATTGTGCTTAATTCTGCTATAATTATTGCATTACGGAGTACATTGTCGGTTTCCGGCGATTCAGATATTATTACGCTTGTTGTTGTTGTTTGCCTTTTTATTGCATGTAATGTTTTGGTAAGCAAAATAATTTTATATTTAAAATTAAACAAATATTAATTTGATCTCTGCAAATATTTATCAAAACGAATGAATAAAATTCACTATTTACTATTTATTATTATTTGTTTATTTTTCTCGTAATTTTGATACCTGCTTGATGAAGAACGGTAAATTAATTCATCATACCTAATTTCTTTTAATAATCCGATAATTATATAATACAATTGTTATCCAACCGATCGATATTTTTATAAGAAGAAGGAATAATAACAAAATTGAAGAAGTTTTAGGCTTAGGCTTAGGCCTACGCTTAAACTTTATGGGATATTAGTACTAAACACTTGAAATCTCATACTTAAAATAAAATAATAACAAATGAATATTAATCCGATTTTTCTAACATAGAATTTTTTTGTTCTTAAAATCTTATAAAAAGAAATTACACATTGAAAATTTTTATTTGATTTCTCTTTTTTCAGCCATTAATAGTAAATTTCTTGGAATTAATATTTGGTTATATAAATTCATATTTGATCGATTTGTCAAATTTAATAGTAGTACTTAATTCTTCATGCAATTTTCTCATTTATTTTACATTTGGAAGTCGATTCCGGAAAACTTTAAAGGAATATATCAAAATTATTTTTTACCGGCAATCAGCTAGGAAAATAGTTGCAACGGTATAATATGGAAAACATGGAATGGTAAATCATTTTTCAAAATATTTCTTTTTATTTCTTTTAGGAAAAAAACATTTATTTTTTTAAATATTTTCAATCTTACAATGTATTCTAGCAATGAAATTTTCCAAAACACGCGAAATTGCAACTTTATTTGTTTCGTAAAAAGTTTAAACGGAGAAACGATATCGTAAACAGGACAATTTATGTTTTGTTAGCCTGACTTTGCTAATAATAAAATGAGCGGTTTACTGCAAGCATGATAATCTTCTTTTCAAGATCAACGTAACCTTTTAATCAATCGGGATAAATTAATAGAAAGATCCGGTTTTACCTTCCGAAGGAGAACAAGTTTTTATTATTTGCATGCATCCGTCAGCGGTTATGATAAACCGATAATTCCGCAATTATCTATTGCTCTCTGATTTAAAATGATTAAAATTTTTGAAATAAACTGTAAATAATTTTCAGGATATTTATCAAAATGCTGATTATCAATGAATGATAATTGAATACCTCGAAGAAGTGTCATTTCAAAGCTATGTAATGAATATTAAAATTATGTGATAAAATAAAAAGGTGAAAAAATTGCTCTGATTATGTCGGATAACACAATATACTACGCTTTTTCTCAATAATACTAAAACTTCAAATAACAGATTTCTATTTCATTTCTTTTATATTTTTGAATTTTTGTTGTTTTTAATCAGAAATTTTGAAAATTTCAATTATTGGTAAAATAATATGTTGGATTTTGTGATAATATTTATTGGAAGTAGTATTCAAATAAATAAATATTACAGTTCCGGTAAACGATAATTAAAACAAATGTGATAGACAAAGAACATGCAACAATAAGATTCATTTGTTTGTTAATTATGTAATTACATATAAAAAGAAGGCGGAAAAAGGATTATGAAATTACGAGACACGGATTCGAAAGAAGATAAAACACAAAATGAAACATTTTAGCACTCAAAATATGCCATTTTTAAAAAAATAGAATACTTTACCAAATTTCGAAATTTTAAGTGGCCAAATGTTAATTTCCCAAGAACTCTTCTTTAAAAAGCAAATCGGTTTTCTCTAAAATCTAAAATTTTTTTTAAAATTCGAAATCGATTTTACTCATGAAAAATATTTCATTGATAACTGTTAACATCTCCCAAATAATTTATTTATTTTGAATAATGCAATAATTGACCTTAAATTCGAATTGGAAAACTTTTTGATACAATGCCAAAAGTGACATTTTTCATCTTTTGTATAAAATTTGATCTGTACAATTCATTTCATTTTATTTGCTACTAATCATTTATTTCGTCATCAAGCGAAAAGTGACAATGACAGACAAATCAACGAAACGTCATCATTATTCGCGGATTATAACTGTAAATCAGAAATGGATGACAAACTGAAGCATGCAACAGTTAACTTTATGTGGTATTACTGTAAAACCGGATTTTTTCTTTCTCTGCAACGGATCACAAAAAACCGGTCAACAAATAATTTTCTGATGAAATCACAAAAAAGACTTGGTACAAACCGAAATATATTCTATCCGGAGTACTAGTACCAAAGAGAGCAAAACGAATCACTGATTACAGATGATTGGCACCTCACAATCTTCGAGATATTCGTTTTTTTAGATCTAAATCTTTTATATGCCTAAAGGATGGGATGATTGGTTTGATTGTTTCATTTTTGACTGCAAAACATTTCAATGTCTTTTCCGTTTTTGAATGTTTCTGCATTGAAAACTGATTTTTGATGGAGCGAAATGATGGAGCGTTGGTCGCTTTTGCTGTAAATTTTTGGATTGTATTCACAGACGAGTAAAATCTTCTGATTCTTCTGATTTGAGACAAAAAATTGTTTCCAAAAATTTTATTATTCTCTCTCAACAAGACCGATTGGAAATAAAATCTGATCCGCAAATTGGTATTAACATTTCTTATCTTTGTTTGACGAATATCTTCAAATTGTTTCAACCATTTTGTTTCAATTTACGTGATACATTGAGTAATTTGGCAAAGTCGATTTGCTATCACTCTGCCATTTGCTTTTCTTGTTTAGTTAAAAATTTCCTGAAAATTCGAACTTATGAGATGAAATAGACAAAAGAGGACGAAAAAGTAACAATTTAAGGAAATCCTTAGTTTGTGCTCTGTTCACTTATGAATCAATGCTGCAACCTGTGAGGAAAGAAGATTTTATTTCATATCAGAATTCATCGTCAGAATTGGATTTAGCAATATTGCATTATTTGCATTGATGCAAGAAAGAATTTAATTAAATTGTATATTGCACAAATTCGATTTAAATTTTTAGATTGTTTGGTACTATTACTGTCAAATTATGGTTCATTATCGAATAATAACTCGAAGAAGAAAATTTTGTTCCTTATGGAACTCATTTTCTCTTATTTCGGTAGTGAGCGTGCATTCTCGATCTCAGACTGCAAAAGAAACGGTATTTAAATAGCGAGACGAGCGTTACTCTCTCATTCTCCAATTTGTTTACTGACGCGCGGTGCGGTCTGTTCGTTTGTCACCACGAACGAAAGGATTACGCTCATTCTCCGTCGTTTGCTCAATCCCCGTAAGTGATTACATCAGCATGCCGACAAAGAAGACAGACTTACGAGAAATCCAGAAAAAGATCGAGAATAATGCTGTAAGAGAAGTTGCACATCATGCGTGCTGCAATGGATTGATGGCAAGTCCTCATTTTATGAATTTTTTCCGTTCTTTCCCGATCACTTTTTATTGAAAATTTGCTCATATTATGCGATGATTAGCGATGTCAGTTAGAAAAATATAGCGAAATTTGTTTTATTTGCTTGTTTTCTGCTGGTTTATTTGAATAGTTTTACTTAAAGGGGACTGGGCGGACGACGGAGAATGAGCGTAATCCTTTCGTTCGTGGTGACAAACGAACAGACCGCACCGCGCGTCAGTAAACAAATTGGAGATGAGAGAGTAATGCTTATCTCGCTATTTCTTTCACAGTCTAAGGTTGAGACTTGTTGCTAATTAGACCTAGCCAATTAGTGTGTTGCGGTCAGCAATTTTCTTCTCATTTCTTGAATGATATCTGTTTATTTTCATGTTAGCTGCCATGAATCTGAGCTTTTCGATCCAAAATGCACTAAACGATATTGAACCATTAATCAACTTTTTATAATCTCAGTTTTACTCATTAATAGTTTAAGTACGTGATTTTCCAGCAATGCGATCGATGCGGTCGAGAACAGAGAATTCGAACAGTTTGCTGTTTCTGTAATACAATTAATGAAGCACCATTGTGTACAGTTTGCGGCAAACAGAAACGTTTGGTCAAAAATGGAGATTGCATAAACAAACATACTGGAAAATGCGTGATTGGTTTGCTTTTAATTTTTTGCATATTAAATCATTCTTGCGCTGATTTTTGCATATTAAATTATCTTCTTCCTCTCTTTCTCTGATTTACTCGTTTGTGTAAACAATCCAAAAATTCGCAACACAAAGGGCCAATGCTCCGTCATTTCAGATCAAAAATCAGTCTTGAATGAGAAACATTCGACGGTGGAAAATGCATTAAAACATTTTGCAAAAAGCCAAAAATGCAACCAACTTTTTACAATGAAGCCAGTCACACAGCAAACTCTCAAAACAAGAATTATATCAATTGATTTTGTTCACCATATCCGATGAAGGAAGAAAGATTTATAAGTTAAAAAAATAAGGATTGTAAAATCATGTTATTAAGTAATCAAGTTATTTTAACAACAGTGAATATCTTGTTCTGGAAAATTGTTGAAATTTGTGTAAGAAATTTTATTCAATAAAAGCTTCGAAATTTTGTGTGAAATTTTCAACATTCAAATAATAATTCATTAAACACGATTTGATCAATTTCATGCTGCAAAATTTGTACCAAATCTGCACTGAAGATGCAATGGACCCAAAAAGACTTCAGAGAGACTCACCAATCTTCTCCGCCTGTCATTCACTTCATTTAGCTGACAGCTATTAATTCTCGAAATAGAATTGAACCGAATGTTGCAGATTTCGAAAACACAAAGAACTGTGACAACTCGTCCTTCTCACCGTTTACTGAGAGAGAATATTGCTTTATGCATATTCAACAATTTGAATAGTTATACAGTCAGGCATGGTTCCGAAGCTTGCCATATTGATTATTCTCGTTTTCTGCTACTTCGATCAGAAAGAATTGACCATTGAAAGGAACATTTATAGGAATATCAAATCATAAATAGGCCCAAATTCTACTGCAATAAAATTGGTCAGTATGGGAAACATCGAAAAAATATCGGAGGTTTGAAAATCATGCGATTCTTGAAAATTCTGTTAGATAGAAGTAATGCAAAAATGCCTTCGAGAATATAGAAAAGAACAGTAAAACAAATTGGATTTATCCTCATTCAATATCTAACGCTAACTAACGGAAGTCCATTTCATCAATTGGAATTATGCGTTCCACGAATAATAACGCGAAATTCCTAACGATTCTGTTAAGAAGTGCTTTTCATAACGCAATCATAATCAAACGAATTTAATAAATAAGGCCCTTCCGTGCCGTCTAATGAAGCCTATTCAATAAGGCCTAAA